TTTTAATTTTATATTTTTTATATTATTTTATATTATTTTATATTATATTTTTTAATTTTTAATTTTTTTAACAAAAATTTTTATATTTTATCTATTTTGAGTTTTTTGATTCTTTTAATATTCTTTACAGGTATCTTCTGAAGATAAATTATCAAAGATGGTATGTGTTACTTGTATTAAAAGATTAGAGAGCATTCATCGTTTTGCTATGATGGCATATAGGACACAGGAGAAGTTAAAAATACAATTATATAATAATATTGATAATATAAATACACAAGATATGGAAAGAGAAAGTATTAAAGATATGCAAAACACAACAAGAAGGATAGAGGATCGAGGATTATTACATACAATATTAACTAAAGTATATATTATAATTATTATATCTTAAATTAATTGAAAAATTCAATATATATTTTTTTTAGGGAGCAATAGAAATTTTAGCTGAAGGTGAACCATTGGGACCATCAGAATTCATAACACAAGATAATATATGTCATACTCCAAATATGGAGGAAATGGAAGTCAAAGTAGATCCAATGTTATTTTTACAATATGGTATGGAACATTCATCATCAGAAACTTCAGAAGCATCTGATACAGAAGAAATAATAACAAGAATGAATATTCCAGAACCATTACCATTAACAAATAAGTAAGAATATTTATATTAATATTTATACTTTTTTAGCATATATGTTAAATTTCATTTATTTCTTATAGAACTGATGAAATAAAAAAAGAAAAAGAAGAAGAGAATAATGATAAATCACAAGAAGATACTGAAGAACACATTTCAGATGTAACAAAACCTCATGAATGTACAATATGTGCTCGATCTTTTATATCTCAAATTGGTCTACAAAATCATTTATGGTCTCATTTGCCTAAAGATAAACGACTTGATGGAAAGCCTATTTTAAGATCACAAGTATATTCTACTAATGGTGTGCTTCATACGAATACTGACAACAATTCATCTGGTAATTTTGTTTGTCCAATTTGTAGTAAAAAAATTTCTACTAAGGGTAATTTAAAAGTACATTTGGAAACTCATCGGCCTAAGGGAAAATATGGTTGTGACATATGTGGTAGAATGTAAGTATTATTAATTAAATATCTAATAAAATAACTATTAATAAAATTATTCTTATTTTAGTTTTAAAACACAGTCAAATTTATTCAGACACAAAGAATATCATGGTGGAATACAATTTCCATGTAATGTATGTGGAAGAGTTTATCCAACAAATTCTACATTAAGAGCTCATAGTATAACACATTCGGATTTAAGGCCGCACGCCTGCCCTCTTTGTGATAAAACTTTTAAAAGAAATCAAGATTTAAAATTTCATATAAATCAACATACAGGTGCAAGGCCTTATCAATGTCCATATTGTCCAAAAGCTTTTGCAAGTTCTGGGAATTGTTTCTCACATCGTAAAAGAATGCATCCTCGAGAAGTACATCGAGACAGACAAAGAGCAGCAGATTTAATGAGATGAACCATGGGTAATCAATATGAAGAATGGTTTTAGAAAAATATAATAATTTATAATATTCACATATTAGCTATTGTAATGAAAAAAAACTTTAATTTTGAATATTAATGGTGCTAATGCAAGAAGCAACGGAAATTTTCTACTTTAATTGAATCATTTGAACTTAGTATTAGATACTTATTGTTATTAACAAACACTTAGTTGTTTGTTCTGATATAACTAGATCTTCTTTACAAAAATAGAAACAAATATATATTTTTTTTAATTTTTTATCTATTATGAATGTTATTGAACTTGATATACTTCCATTGTTGATAAATGCAATTATGTGCAATTTAGTAATTATTATTTATTGAATCATATATAGTACAAGTAATTATAATAATAGGTTTTAAACTCTCTAGTCAAAATAAGAAATTTGTATTTTTTACTCGTTTATCTGTATTTAACTTGTATACATTTTTTTCTTCATTTTTAAGAATAGAAATTATATTTAGATCTTGTTAAATAATTCTTAAAATT